TGACTCAGCCTTCCATCCTTTCTAAGGTAGGTGAAATGAGGACCCAGTTTGTGGGGGCAATAAACTGACTTTGTATAAAATATACAAAAGAATGAAGGCTATTGCTGAGCACATTGTAAGCCGCCCTGAGTCTCTGGAGAAGGGCGGCATATAAATCAATTAAAAAAAAAAAAAAAGGACTACCTATATTTTCCCCACTACAATAATATTGTGAAGTAGGTTGGACTAAGAGAGAATGACTGGCCCAGATCTAACTAATTTCCTGGTTTCTTTGATAACAACTTTTCCTTTTAACATCAGTCACCCTTTTAAAAATAGGTATGTTAACTGTGCCAGAAATGAAGAAGAACAAAATCTTGTTGCTTTCCAGTATCATGGGGAAATATACTACAGAACATGTAAAGAAATTCAACCTCATTCTGAGCTCTTGGTTTGGTATGGAGAAGAATATGGAAAGGAACTTGGCATCAAATGGGAATCTAAATGGAAATCGCTAAATGGTATAATGCTAGATGATTTCTTGCTTAAATTAATAATGATAGCTGTAGACCCCAAACTTAGTATCTAAGGAACTATCTAATTTTTCCATGGGCCCTTTAAAGATAAAGGTAAAGGTTCCCCTCGCATATATGTACTAGTCGTTCCTGACTCTCAGGGGCAGTGCTCATCTCCGTTTCTAAGCCGAAGAGCCAGCACTGTCTGAAGACGATTCCGTGGTCATGTGGCCAGCATGACTAAATGCCAAAGGCTCACGGAACGCTGTTATCTTCCCACCAAAGGTGTGGTCCTTATTTTTCTACTTGCATTTTTTACGTGTTTTCGAATTGCTAGGTTGGCAGAAGCTGGGACAAGTAATGGGAGGTCACCCTGTTACACAGCGCTAGGGATTCAAACCATTGAACTGCCGACCTTTCTGATCGACAAGCTCAGTGTCTTAGCCACTGAGCCACCATGTCCTTTAGTGCCTAGTAATTTAAGACCCTAGGCCAAAATATTATAAAAAACAAAACCCAACTTTACAAATGAAATTGCAACTCTACACCATAAGATATCTAGGAACAATTTCACTTAGTCAGTGTCTGTTGACACAACTGATGTTTTGACATGGTGTTTGTGTGACTTCCAGAATTTTGCCAGTTCTTATTCCACTTTTAAGTAGCATTTTATTTGAAGGATGAGAGATAATTTGTACTTGTACTATTACTGTATAATAACAACATGATTATAGCTATTACATAAAAATTTGGCATTGGTTACATTCATAATATGAATATTGATCCATGGCTCATATTTTTCCTGCAGTAAGAGTTATTTTTAATAGATGATAGAATATCATCTAGTCTATCGGGCCTGGTGGCTCAGCAGACTAAAAGCATTGTGATTAACACCAGCTGTCTGCAATTACTGTAAGTTCGAATCTCACCAGCTCAAGGTTGACTCAGCCTTCCATCCTTTCTAAGGTAGGTAAATTGAGGACCCAGTGTGTGGGGGCAATAAGCTGACTTTGTATAAATATACAAAAGTATGAAGGCTATTGCTTAACACATTGTAAGATGCCCTGAGTCTCCGGAGAAGGGCGGCATATAAATCAAATTTTTTTAAAAATTGTTTAGAAGTCCTGCCTTTGTTTTCCTCTCGAACACAAATCTTGAATGCTATTTTAATAATGATAGGAGGAAAAATCATGGAGACGTCTTTGGACAGTGCTGGCTCTTCGGCTTTGAAACGGAGATGAGCACCGCCCCCTAGAGTCGGGAACGACTAGCACATATGTGCAAGGGGAACCTTTTCCTTTTACCTTTTAGGAGGAGAAATATATGTTACATTTGTTTGGCCCTATACACTACCAGTTTTTGTGAAATCTTTTTTACTATAAGTATATTGTTTCCATATTTTCTGACTTAATCAGATTTGACAGCTATGCTATTAGATATGTTGGTTCATCAACAGAATAAAAACTAAATAATATTTGAGGCTACAAGTAGGGATACCTTTTTAATGCCTTTTTAATATTTTCCATGTAGAAAATAAAACCTAATTAGAAGAAATTCTTGTTCACAATAGGTTATATGTTGACAGAGATATATTAATACATATTTTTTTAATGTAGAATAATCTTCATAAGACTGCCTTGCAAATTCAAATTGTTCAGTCCAGTTTATCATATTCTGTTGAGCTCAAATATAGTTTAATATCTTGTGTAAAACCTTCCAAAAAGAAGTTATGCCTTGAAAGAATTAAAATTAAATTATTAACAATTAATAATTACCTTTATTTTTAAATCCCATTTTTATACTGCGCGGTTAATTGCAAGTTATCTATATACCGGTAATAAGCATTGATATAATAAGAATTGTGAACTCTTTAATGTGGAAGAAAAGTTATAAACTCCAAAGTCTACTTTTTCATTGCTGGGCTATAAAAAAGTAAGAAAGTATAAATCATAGCAGGTTCCTCATATAAATAGTCCTTTTTTGCCAATAATTTTGTTTTTTCTTTGCAAATAGTTCACAAGCAGAATTCATACTTGGTGAAAAAGCAACAAATAGTTTGCCATCAGTGTCCCAGTTGTGAGACAGCATTTACTTGCAAAGATTATCTCACCCGCCATATGAAATGGAAACATTCTGGATTTATAATACTTGCTGAAGAACCAGAAAAAATACTAACAAAAAAATCATTACCCAGAATAAGAAGTTATGCTTCCTACCAAGTTATGGTGCAATATAGAATACTAAGCAACATGAACAAAGGTAAAGATGATGAAATGCTTTTTTTGAAAGACAGAAATGAAGAAGCAGAGAATAAATACCATAAAAACAATGGAAAAAAACATTTTCAGCTGGTTACTCACAATGAGATACATAGAGGAAAGCCATATTTATATAAAGAACATGTAAAAAAGGTTGATGGATCATTACTATGTCTGATCAGACAGAAGGGGAGGCATATAGGGAAAAAGTTTTATTCATGCAGAAAATATGGGCTAGGTTTAAGCCAATCACCAGGACTATCCACTTGGAAGCAAACCCATGTAAGAGAGGAGCCATACTCATGTAGAGTGTGTGGGAAAAGCTTTAGCCAATCAGCAAACCTGAACACTCACATGCGGACACACACAGGAGAGAGGCCGTATTCATGTAGGGAGTGTGGGAAAAGCTTCACTGTCTCATCAACACTGGCCAGACACATGCGGACGCACACAGGAGAGAGGCCGTATTCATGTAGGGAGTGTGGGAAAAGCTTCACTGTCTCATCAACACTGGCCAGACACATGCGGACGCACACAGGAGAGAGGCCGTATTCATGTAGGGAGTGTGGGAAAAGCTTTAGCCTATCAGCAAACCCTGACCACTCACATGCGGACGCACACAGGAGAGAGGCCGTATTCATGTAGGGAGTGTGGGAAAAGCTTCACTGACTCATCACACTTGGCCAGACACATGCGGACACACACAGGAGAGAGGCCGTATTCGTGTAGGGAGTGTGGGAAAAGCTTTAGCCTATCAGCAAACCTGAACACTCACATGCGGACGCACACAGGAGAGAGGCCGTATTCGTGTAGGGAGTGTGGGAAAAGCTTTAGCCTATCAGCAAACCTGAACACTCACATGTGGACGCACACAGGAGAGAGGCCGTATTCATGTAGGGAGTGTGGGAAAAGCTTCACTGTCTCATCAGCACTGACCACTCACATGCGGACGCACACAGGAGAGAGGCCGTATTCATGTAGGGAGTGTGGGAAAAGCTTCACTGTCTCATCAGCACTGACCACTCACATGCGGACGCACACAGGAGAGAGGCCGTATTCATGTAGGGAGTGTGGGAAAAGCTTTAGCCGATCAGCAAACCTGAACACTCACATGCGGACGCACACACAGGAGAGAGGCCGTATTCATGTAGGGAGTGTGGGAAAAGCTTCATTGTCTCATCAACACTGGCCAGACACATGCGGACGCACACAGGAGAGAGGCCGTATTCATGTAGGGAGTGTGGGAAAAGCTTCACTAACTCATCAGCACTGACCACTCACATGCGGACGCACACAGGAGAGAGGCCGTATTCATGTAGGGAGTGTGGGAAAAGCTTTAGCCAATCAGCAAACCTGACCACTCACATGCGGACGCACACAGGAGAGAGGCCGTATTCATGTAGGGAGTGTGGGAAAAGCTTTAGCCAATCAGCAAACCTGACCACTCACATGCGGACGCACACAGGAGAGGCCGTATTCATGTAGGGAGTGTGGGAAAAGCTTTAGCCTATCAGCAACCCTGACCACTCACATGCGGACGCACACAGGAGAGAGGCCGTATTCATGTAGGGAGTGTGGGAAAAGCTTCATTGACTCATCAACACTGGCCAATCACATGCGGACGCACACAGGAGAGAGGCCGTATTCATGTAGGGAGTGTGGGAAAAGCTTTAGCCGATCAGCAAACAGGGCCACTCACATGCAGACGCACACAGGAGAGAGGCCGTATTCATGAAGAAGTGTGGGAAAAGCTTCAGTATCTCATCAGTAATGCTCCAAGTGGAGCCCAGTATTCATCAAGCTTGACATAGACCAACTGTTCAGTAGTGTTGCTAAATATATAAACATAAATTATGAAGTATTTTTGATATGAGTAACACATCTTCAGTAAAGAATATATCAAAGCCATAGATTTTGAATAAAAAAATAAAATTTATAAAAAAACTTATTAAGAAAAGGGGAAATTTAAGATATGGTTGTATTGCCATAGGATTATAACAGGGGATTGATTAAAACAGTCAATTTTTGAAGAGTTATCTCATGAAAATTGTTGGCACTCACTAAAGCCAAAACCCATTGTCTTTGGAATTTATCCCACCACCACTGTTTGCTCTGTGAAAAAAACAAGGTAAAGGCTTTCTTGTATCCACAAGTCTGCAGTATAAATAAAGCTATATTTTCCCTTAAAGAATGGAAAGTATTAAAATGGCAAATAAACAGTGAGGATAAATTGCAGTGGTTATTTGTCGTCATCATTCCACCTTTTCCTTTTAATTATTTTTCTTTTTGCAGATGTCATAAGAATTAATGTTCTACCAGGGAGAACTGTTGCTGACATCCTAGACTTCTTATATCTTATTTCTTCATATAAACATCACAAAGATTGTTATCCATTTCTGTTTTTGCAGGGAAATGAGACATTTATTTTATTAGGTTTATATTTTAAAAAATGCTATATGCAGCTACTCCAAATATTGGATATGTGATGACATTTTTCTTTGTTTCTTTAGTGAGAACATACACACTACCAATTAGCACCATCCACAATAAGGCTTTTCTACAAATATGAGATAATTTTTAAACATTCAATTCAGAGGAGAAAATGTTAATTTGAAATGAATGCAAATATGGTTTACAGATGTGCTTCTTTTTACTCAAATTGAGTGGTTGAAAGCAAGCATAAGGAATTAATGGATTGTAAATGTCACCATGGGTAATGTTTAACCATTGCTTATGTTTCAGAATCTCAGAGAGATGCTTCTTTTTAAAATAATGGCAATCAGGAATCGGAAATACAAAATAACATATAATCCGAGTATTTTGTTTGGAAAATCAAAGAATATGTTTTTGCTTATATCATTAATGATATTCTATTCAAACCAATTTTTAGAGCTCACTTCTCTCCTCAAGGTTAAATTTATACAGTTATTATTATCTAAGAATAGGAAAATACAGAATTACCATCACATATATACACATTATAGCAAGAGATACCAATATTTTTTTTAAAAATAACTATTTTCAATAAACGAGAAAATGACAATCAGGCATTTTTAATTCATGGTTTCTCTGGTTTCTCTAGCTGTAAATCAATCACTTTGACATTGCCTATGTCTTGGTAGGTAGCTTGTAAACCCCTGGAGATGTCTTCATACATTGAGCAATCATCCAGATTCAGTCCCTAAAAGGAAAAGACAAAGTGTTCGTTATTCTGAAAGTCATGTACTGAGGAAGTTAAGGCTAAAATTCTAAGTGACTTTGTATTACTTAGCATGGACTGCAAATACAGTGCATACAATAAAAGAAATTAATATCTTTCCAATTGGAAAAATGCCTTCCTTTGATGAATATCAGGTTCCCTCTTATGCCCCCCTCCCTCTCTAGCACCATCATAGCTACACTATCCATGTATTCTTGCACTATAATTTGGAGTACTGTAAATGATAGTAGAATAGGTGGTCTAACTGGAATCTCTGTTTTCATTGTTATATATCCCATTATTTCATCTCCCTTGCTTCTGCAATATGCCAATGAATCATTCCATTGACTTACTTCATACAGATTCTCCTCTTCACAAGCTTTCTTCTTGGCCTGCAAGAGGCGCTCATTTTCCCATCTCTTCTGCAAACAAGACAAGAAGAGGCTAGGATTCAGGAAAAAACCAACTAATAGTTCTATATTTAACTTCAGCTTTGGTGAAATCAGTATAAAAATGTTTTAGTACTGTACTTATGTATTGTACTACTTATATATTGTACTACTATACACAAATAAAAACATAGTCAATAGAAGATGCTTAAGGGCAAACTAAGTGCCTTACTCCCATGATTTCTATTAGATGGGCAAGTTCTGAATCCATTTAATCAGGGACTGTCATCAGCCCAGTCCAGTTTGCCCTCCCCCCCAATCTAGAAAAACATACTGCCCTAGGTTAAATTCTGAAACATATTGCTCATGTTTCAGAAAGCCTCAAAGACCAGCTTCTGTCCAGCCATGGGGGTCAGGAGAGCAATAGATCCCACATGTTTTGTATGGCTTCTGCAGTCATATGAATTTTATGCCTATATAGATATATTATTTTTGAGCCTTTGTTAGCTTCCCAGAATAATAGCAAATAGGAAGGTATATAAAACAATTTAAGTAAGTAAACTCAACCAAGAAAAACTATTAACGTGCAGGTAATAAACCACAACAGAAGTTTGAATAAGCCTTGTTACATAGCTGAGTAAATTCAACTGTCATATAATGAAGAGCTTGGATGCAGAGCTTCATGTTGGACCATAAACTGGAATAATTTTTTTAAAACCCATTTCATTCAATATTTACTATAATAGGATTTATGAGCTGTTCTAAGCATACCGTTGATAGGTCCACTGATTTTCACATGAAAATGGGTATGTAACAACAAATATTTGACAGTTAATAGGTCATGGATTTAAGATACAAGACGCAGCTTGTTTGTTTATGCTAACAGTCTGGGCTTAATTTTTCATCCTCGTGATGAAAAACTGTTTGAGACACATTTGATGCTTTGCATTAAATGATGGAAAAAAATAGATATATGTAATACTGTAGGAATATTCTACTAAAAGCAGGCATCAACAGAATTTTATTTTAAGAAACCACCTATACATTCCTCCTAATGTGTATAGCTAACAACTATAGGTGACATTCTGTGTCACAGGAACAGTTACTTAAGATTACTGCCAATTGGATCTGATATAATGCCCATATTGTGAAAAAAAATGTTGAAAAGAAATTCAAAATATAGTTCCAAGAATAATCTAATGATTCTTTTGAAACCAGTTGATCTTTCCATTACTGTAAATTGCCTGCTAATGCCTCTGCGAGGAAGCAGAACATTCTTCAACATGGTGATCAAAAGCAGAACAAGATCTGGTGACTGGAAACTATGCACAAACAGATTCAGAATGGGTCATACTATAGATGCATGTATGGAAATGATATGTGAAGGGAAAAAACAGCTCACCTTGAAGAGCAGAAAAAGGCCAGGACCAATGGCACAGATAAGCAGAAGAAATCCCTCCACAGTGATAATCTTGTTTTTAATTGATTCACTCATATTCAAGAAGGAGACGGGGCGAGGTCCTAGAACACAGCCAGAAATGGACAATTGGTTGGGAACCTCATAACATTCCTGGTCTTCCTATTTACCATCCACTTGGAATTCTCTTTTTCAGAATACGCTGCCAACTCATCTTGCTGCAAATCACAGCTATGTCTATTAATTCCCAGGGGTCCTTTTGTCAAATAGCAACTTTTGCAAAACGGCAAACACATTGACAAAAAAAGACTGATAGATCAATTTTAAATCCCACAGTTGGATTTGCATGACATTCTTACCTTCCCTAGCTTTAATCCTGGTTAATGGTGGGTGACTTATTTAGTGTAATTACTGGCCATTTAGTAACTGCTCGGTTTATTTTTTCGTACAAACCCCTTAGTTCAGTAATTGGTTAAAGCATGTTAGTTAAACATAGCCAGTTTGTGGGCATTATTTTCTTGGCACAGACTCCGTTTTATTGAGCAGACGTTTATAGGCATTGATGTATGTACAGTGTTTAAATCTCATATATTTCCCAACCAACTAATCAATCCAACCAGACAGCATTATCTAACTCAAATATCCATGGTACCAATTAGACTTATATTGGACTTATTGATGTGTTTTATGCACTTAAATGCATAAGTGCATAGAAGAGCGTAGATGACACTCAATGTCCTGAATGAAACCTTTGCTTGCTCAGTTTGGAGCAAACCAGCTGTCTGGATTTCTCCTATGTAGACGTCTCTTCCTCCAACAGGTTTTGCAGACACCTCCTGACTATTTAAAAACTTCAACTTAACTTGTGTGGGCTGGAGGTGCATTATATCACAGACAAACAACATTTTCAAAAAGGAAATGAAAGTTCCAATTCAAAGTGTATTGTGATGGAGCATATTAAAAAAACGAAGACTGACATACTGTAATTTTGAGCCAGACAAAAGAACAAAACAGCTATGTTGGGATCTAAATCGTGTGGAAGAGCATGCAATATAAAAAGAACCCTCAATATTGAGAACTCACCCCAATTCCCGTTCTCTGAATTGATTATATTAGCTACTATTATTTCACAAATCTCCGTTTTTGTAAAAATTTAGTTCTAGAGACTTATAGATATCTTTATCTACAATAAATCTTTACTATATTTTGAGGCTGAAATACAAGATGAGGAAGTGGCTACTTAAACCTTTGCTTGATCCAGTGTTTCTTTCATGCCCACAATAGAAAGCTATACAATAGTTAACAATCATCTGTATTTAAACTGCAATAATTTATATAAGGGAAGAATGTTTACACTCATACTCCTTCAGAGAATGGTATGGTTTCTCTTCCCAACCCTATTTTCCTACAGGATTTCTTGTTTCAGTAGATGAAATCCTCTCTTTGCATTATCCCAATTAGCTTTGGACCTTATGTTTATATCAGCCACTACTAACTTGCCTATTAATTGTATTTTAGCTCTATGCTTCCAAAGGCTGTTTGTATATTTCTCCACTGAAGATTCTTTTTTCCGAAAAATAGAATAACGGAAGATGTTTTTGCAACTAACTCAACAACTATTAAGATAATTCCAGATCTGAGATACTATAACTCTTTGTGTGTGTGTGTGTGTGTGTGCACATGTGGACATGCATGCTACCCTCACTCACAATTCAGTAGATGACTCTGAGCCAGTCATTCTCTCTTAAGCTAATGTGTCTTTAGTAAAAATACTAAATCTAAAAGCACCCTGTACGCTTCATAAACCTGTTGAATTTATTTACATTTTATAACCTGGAGGATGGAATTGCCTTGAACTCTTAGAGGAGGAAAGGCATTATCTAAATCTAATCAACCTCAGTCCTCAGACTTCCTCAATACCATTGGTTAACCCAGGATTCTCCAACCCCCAGTCCGTGGACTAACACTGTGAATGCCAGAAAATGGGCAGCACAAACAAATGAAGCCCCATGTGTGGGATGCAGGCAGCACACAAAACCATTGCCCCTTCTGGTCCATGGAAAAACCGGTCTCCATGGAACCAGTCCCTGGTGCCCAAAAGGTTGGGGGGACACAGGGCCAACCTGTACCTGATTTTTTATGTTGATGTCCATGCTAGCTCTCTAAAAAAGTCTATAACACTGAGAAAGGGGGAAGGAAAATAAAAATAAAATGGAACGACTAGTAGCAAGCTGTACATACTTGATTATAAGGGCATTTAGCACCCCATTGGAAGACCTGAAGGGCAAGGTTAGGGACAGACCATCCTGGACATGTTCTATATCAGGGGAGTCAAACTCAAGACCCCGTGGACTGGATCCGATCCGTGGGGTGCTTAGATTCACCCCATCCGGAAATAGCAAGGGATTAGCCTGTGGTGCTAGTGAAAATGGGATGTGGGGGGGGGGGTTGTGGGCATCCGCTGTGTGGCCCATTTTCAGTCTGGATGGCCGTCTGCAGGCCCCTGTGCCCCATTTTGGCCACCAGGTTGCTGCAGAAGGGTATCTAGGCCGAAAATGGGCTGCACGGGGACTGCCTGTGCCACCCCGCACCCCGTTTTGGCCAGCAGGGTGAAGCAGGAGGGTGTCTGTCTCATCTCCTCCCCCCCGGGCCAGCCCTCAGAGGACAACTACTGTACAATGCTGATCCAGCCCTCCAAGAAATCCAGATTGACAGCCCTGTTCTATAAGATCATTAAGAGTCAATGCTGACTCAATCAATCAGTCAAAATCTAGGCTAGAGATCTGGACATCATTCGCACCTCTGCTCTCCGTTTGCAAAAGTTAACCGTTCAACCCTTAGTAGTATAAGCTTTATACTCACTCCTGACCCACAGAAAGGTTCCACAGGATTGCCCATGACTACTGGAAGAAACCACAAAGCAGTAGTACATGCCAGTGTCGTTCTTTTGGGTTGAATGAAAAGAGACCTTTGACCAGCCCTGAGGGACGTTTGTAGAGATGATGCGGTTTCTGGTGTTGGAGACGTCAAAATTGCTGCTACAGTTTGGGGAGCAAGATTTTTTCCAGAAAACCGATGCTTCCGGCGGGGCCTTAAACTGACACTCCAGGGTGGCAGAATTCCCTTCCAAAATGATGCGAGAGGTATCTACGGGTTTCACGACGATGGGCGGCGGGGAACGCTGTTGCATCACCTGTATGGACTTATGACAGGTGGAATCAGTTGGTGTAGTCTTGGTCGTTACAATGTATTCTTTGGGGCTTTCAGGGGTTCGACCTGTGTTATTGGGTTTCTTTGTTGTTGGAATGATTTCAGTGGTATCAGTAGTTGGGTTGACACAAATACAACCTGCAAATAGGAGAAGGGGAAAAAATTAATCAAATTTATGCAGCCGCCCATCTCATCAAAGGCAACTCTGGGCATGGATAAAACAGAAAATATGAAAACAGTGATTATAAATATAAAAACCATCGTAATCAATATCCTAAGATCCCAACATACAAACTATAAGTGAAGGGAGAATTAAAAAATGCCAACAATGGGCCCTCTAGACAAGTTTCTGGTTCCATAGAAGCCCCAGTCCTGATTACATAAAAATGTTGGTGTATAAAACATGAAATAATGAGATTCTTCGTTTACATTATCTCTGCCTAGAAGGATTGTTTAGTTTAGTTTTTTTTAGTTTAGTTTACTTTATTGTCATTGCACCTCGTACAACGAAATTAAATGCCATCTTCAGTGTACATTATACATAAAAAAATAAGACAAAACACATATCCTTCACATTCTATACAATTGAATTGAAACCCCCTGATATTGTATTAATATTGCACTATACAGTAGAATTCAATATAGTTACTGCTCTGGGATAGAAGCTGTTTTTCAGCCTATTTGTTCTTGTTTTTATTATCCTGTACCGTCTGCCAGATGGTAATAGTTCAGAAAAAGGGTGCCCAGGATGAGATGGATCTTTAAGAATGTTTTGAACTTTCTTCAAAAGTTTATCTCTGCTGGGCTCCAGTCTTGATTACATAAAAATATTGGTGTACAAAACATGAAACAATGAGATTTACATTATCCCTGCCTAGAAGGATTGTTTGAATTTACATGGGAACATATTAACTTTCACGAATGAAGGCAAATATATGTGTTTCAGAATAATGTTGCAGGATCCAATCTGGGTCGGAACCAGAGGATTAGTTTTCCAAGCTTTCGGACTCATGCCAGAGCCCATCCTCAGGGAACATCTCTCAGTGACCGACCCAGATTGAATCCTGCAACATATTACTTTGTTTCTGGGAGAGTGACTGTTAGATTCACTGGGTGAAATGGACTAATTCTAACTTAACTATATACTGTATGCAATTTCATGTATTAAAGAACGATTAGTTACAAAAATTGGCTGACTTCTCATGCACTTAACCCTAGTTTCTTGAATCAAATATAGTTTGGCTGTGTTTTACCCAATACAGTAAAGCACAAACTAAGGTTTACAAACCTTATATAAACAGAGGCACAGAATCAAAAACATGTGATGTATTAGTACCGCTTTATAAATCCTTAGTAAGACCACACCTGGAATACTGCATCCAGTTTTGGTCATCACCTTTCAAAAATGATGCTGAGACTTTAGAAAAAGTTCAGAGAAGAGCAACTAAGACGATTAAAGACCTGGAGACAAAAACATATGAAGAACGGTTGCAGGAATTGGGTATGAGTCTAGAGAAAAAGAAGGACTAGGGGTGACATGATAGCAGTATTTCAGTATTTGAGGGGCTGCCGAAAAGAAGAGGCGATCAACTTATTTCCAAAACACCAGAAGGCAAGATAAGAAACAATGGATGGAAACTAACCAAGGAGAGAAGCAACCTGGAATTAAGGAGAAACTTCCTAACAATGAGAACAATTAACCAGTAGAACAGCTTGCCTTCAAAAGTTGTGGGTACTTCATCACTGGAAGTTTTTAAGAAGAGACTGGACAGCCAACTGTCTGAAATGGTAGGGTCTCCTGCTTGAGTAGGGGGTTGGACTAGAAGACCTCCAAGGTCCCTTCCAGCTCTATTCTGATTGAACCATTTGGTCAATTCACCCAACACACCGACTCATAAGACAATAAAGTACAACAATGTACTTTTTATGGTAGCTGAATGCTTGGTGGAAATTCAGCAGGGCGAACCAGAGGAAATTCCTCTGAATATTTGTATGTCGGGTTGAGAAATAAAGCTTGCACAAAAATGGAGGCAAAAGGGTCATATTTCCCAATATATCTTGCAATCTTTCCAATAACAAACCCTCCCCAGAGCGCCTTCCCTGCTGGTAAAGCCACTGAACCACATCTCCATGCCAGAATGCCGCCCCTCGTCGCATCCCCCAAGGGGCTGCTGGTGGTTTTAGTTCCCTTTTCCTGCCTCTGTTGACAGGAAACAGAAGAGGACCACTCGTTATAAGGCGGAAAGTTTATGGCCCACCCTTGCAGGTATGCAGAAGTCTTGCAGAGTCAGCTGGAACCAGATTTGAGAAGTTTTCAGAGGAACTACCGGTATATCTCTAAAAAGTTTGTCCCAAAAGTGCTTTTTCAAAAGCTTTTTTTGGAAGCTTCTTGGATGAGAAGCAAAACATCTTCAAGGAAAAACGAAGAAAGTCCAGTTACCTTTTGAGGAACAGAGCTGGAAGGTACCTTGGAGGTCATCTATCCAACCCCCTGCTCACACAGGAGACCTGTACTAGGGATTCGAACCGCCAAAGTGCCGATCTTTCTGATTGACAAGCTCAGTGTCTTAGCCAGTGAGCCACCTTTGGGACAACCATGACCTGGGTGACTGAGAATCTCCATAGACATCTAAAAAGTTAGGGCTATGGAAAAGTACAGAGATGGCCTTGAAAAAGGAATTCAGCAACCATTATCTAAACCCCAGTTTTGCCTGAATAGACAGGACAGGGTGAGGAAGAAAGTCAAGATTGTTCTGGCTTGATTTTCTTTAGTATAAGCAAGGAAAGAGAATATCTCTGCAGGCTTTCAAGATTTTTATTACACCCTCTGGCAATAGAGTCCTAATGGTTCATGCAGTATCCTTGCCAGATTTGGCCTCTCTTGGGGGGCTGACAGGACTTTAGTGAACATTAATGAATTAGATTTTTATCCCGCCTTTATTACTCAATAAATAATTCAAGGCAGCCCAACATACTTAATCCTCCTTCCTCCTCCTATTTTTCCCACCACAATAAACCTGGGTTCTGTTGAAAGAGAGTGACTGACCCAAAGTCATTCAATCAATTTTCATGCCTAAGGCAGGACTAGAACTCCCAGTCTCCTGGAGATTGGCCCAAAGTCATCCAGCCAGGTTTCATGCCTAAGGTGGAACTAGAACTCACTGTCTCCTGGTTTCTAGACTACCATCTTATTCACTATACCAAACTGGCTCTATTGCTTTAGAGCAGTGTTTTTCAACTTCAACAACTTCAAGATGGGTCGACTTCAATTCCCAGAATTCCCTAGACAGCAATGCTGGCTGGAGAATTCTGGGATTTGAAGACCACACATCTTAAAGTTGCTGAAGACTGCTTTAGAGAAAGTCTTAAGAAAAGAGATTATGGACTATCTATGGAAATACCTGGAAGTAAGTCTCATGAAAGCAATGGAATGACTGAGTCAATATGCAGAAGCTTGCACTATAAGATTATACACAGTGGTGGGATTCAAATAATTTAACAACCGGTTCTCTGCCCTAATGACTAGCTGGGTACGCGTGGCTCAGTGGCCATGTGACTGTGTGAGCATGGCCAACTCAATATCACTCATGTCGATGGGTGCTTCGCCTTAGCTGTTACAATGTAACAAGGGTTAACCAGAGAGGCAGTTTCTGTAAGCAGGGCAATAAAGATCAGGCTAGAAACAACACCAGAATGTTTCCTTCCTGCCTTCCTTACAGGATTAGCCTTGTAAAGTGGAAAAAAACAAAATAAGATTTCTTCCGACAACTGATTCTCTGAACTGCTTAGAAAGTTAACAACCAGTTCTTCCGAATAGGTGCGAACTGGCTGGATCCCACCATTGATTATACATAATTATTCAGGATACAGTAAGCCCCCTTAAACACAGTGATGTACTCAATAGATAGATACTTTGGATCAATATAGATATCAATGTTTCTTTTCCGAAGTCTTAATCAAACAGTCCTAAATCTGCACAGATTCTTTGCTTATGTGACATTGAGTCCCAAATCTACTCAATCAGATTCAATTTGATCATAATGCAAATAAGTGAATCCTAAGGAAACGTATTTGTTATATTGATGGGCGAACAGTTAATCGTTTCTCCTGTGAATAAATATAACTATCTTCAATGATGATTACATTGGGGATCCTGTATATTCCTCCATCCCGTATTCTTAAAATAATACTCATAAAAGCATCAATAAAAAAGAAAAAAATATTCACATTGTATTAAGCCACGATACCTTTGTTTTTGACTCCGCATTGTGTGGGGAAGTTAGAACAAACCATGTTTATTTTGACAAGGAACAAGTCTAATTCATTTGTTGATTTATTGATTGCACTGTAATTAGGTATATGCAAATAACAATTCATTATGTGTTTTCTTGATGTTCCTGGTGGATTTCAGGACACTATTCAAGACTCTTGCTAAGCAATAATTGTGCAATATAAAAAGAATATGAAGATATAGGAAAACTACCGAAAAACTGGCTCAACAAACAATGATTGCAAGTTCAACTCTATTTTGTTTTCACCCTGTTCAGTATGATTTCTTTCAAACCAGGTGTGTAAGGTGTACATTCAGTAGATATTTTACAGTATCCATTTTATTATGTTGTATTAATTTTAACTTCTACCCTTACCTACTAAGGATACAATTCTCTATCCATTTATACGGCTACAGGCACCTATTCTTTAAGATTTATTTTTATATAGGCATATATATATATGGTTCCCTCAGACTGGCTCGGGAATTCTGGGATTTGAAATTCACACGTCTGAAAGCTGCCAAAGTTAAGAAAACACTAGAGATACCAAAGATTCAGTCTTGCACTATTTACATACCACAGATTTTTGGCAAAAAAAGCTCAAGGTTGCATCAACAGAGGGATAGAATCAAGATCACAAGAAGTATTAGTACCTCTTTATAAAGCCTTATTTATTTATTTATTCATTTATTTATTTATTTATTGGTTCGATTTATATGCCACCCTTCTCCAGAGACTCAGGGCGGCTTACAATGCGTTAATCAATAGCCTTCATACTTTTGTATATGTCTGCTTATTAGGGCTTTCGGGGCCCCCCTAAGCGGTGTTCTTTTTTATACAAAGTCAGTTTATTGCCCCCACAATCTGGGTCCTCGTTTTACCTACCTCGAAAGGATGGAAGGCTGAGTCAACCTTAAGAGCCTTGATAGTACAGTGGTCTACGCACCCTGTTATTAACACAGCTGCCTGCAATTTCTGCTGGTTCGAATCTCTCCAAGGCTCAAGGTTGACTCAGCCTTCCATCCTTTCTAAGGTAGGTGAAATGAGGACCCAGTTTGTGGGGGCAATAAGCTGACTTTGTATAAATATACAAAAGGATGAAGGCTATTGCTTAACGCATTGTAAGCTGCCCTGAGTCTCCGGAGAAGGGCGGCATATAAATCAAATTAAAAAAAAAAAAAGTCAAGCCTTAGTAAGACCACACTTAGAATGCTGCATCCAGTTTTGGTCACCATCTTATAAAAAGATGTTGAAACAGTGCAGAAAAGCAACAAAGCTGAATAGGGGGCTGGAGGCTAAAACATATAAAGAATGGTTGCAGGAATTGGGTATGTCTAGTCTAGTGAAAAGGACTAGGGGAGACATGATAGCAGTCTTCCAATATCTCAGGACCTGCCACAAAGAAGAGGGGGTCAACCTATTCTCCAAAGCACCTGAGGGCAGGACAAGAAGCAATGGGTGGAAACTAACCAAGGAGAGAAGCAATCCAGAACTAAGGAAAAATTTCCTAACATTGAGAACAATGAACCAGTGGAACAGCTTGCCACCAGAAGTTGTGGCTGCTCCATCACTGGAGGCTTTTAAGAAGAGATTGGACAACCATGTGTCTGGAATGGTATAGGGTCTCCTGCTTGAGCAGGGGGTCGGACTAGAAGACCTCCAAGATCCCTTTCAACTCTGTATTCTGTTAATTATAAGAAAAGCCCTTTTTTGTTCCAACTTTTTCTCTTTCATCCCATATCAGAACAAGGCTTGCATCCCTGCCTGTTAAAATTGGTCTGTCCTGAATCTTCTGGGAATGCCTGTTCCAGATTCACACTTTATTTTTTATTTTTTGTTTAGTTTGTCAAGCATGTATAAGATAACAGATATAAGCCTAAACATAATTATGAATACATGAAATGGATATGAATAAATGGGGACATTAGGACAGGGGCGGTAGGCACATTGGTGCATTTATGCACGCCCCTTACAGACCTCTTAGGAAAGGGGTGAGGTCGACAGTAGACAGTCTAAGATTAAATTTTTGGGGGTTTGGGGATGTAACCACAGATTCAGGTAGTGCATTCCAGGCACTGACCACTCTGTTGCTGAAGTTGTATTTCCTACAATCGAGTTTGGAGCGGTTTACCATAAGTTTGTATCTGTTGTGTGCTCGTGTATTGTTGCGGTTGAAGCTGAAGTAGTCATTGACAGGTAGGACATTGTAGCAGATAATTTTATGTACTACGCTTAGGTCAGACCTGAGGCGGTGTAGTTCTAGGTTGTCTAAGCCCAAAATTTCAAGCCTGGTGGCATAAGGGATTCTGTTGTGAGTAGAGGAGTGGAGGACTCTTCTCGTGAAATATCTCTGGACTTCAGTGGTGGGTTTCAAATTTTTTTACTACCGGTTCTGTGGGTGTGGCTTGGTGGGCGTGGCATGACTTGGTGGGCGTGCAGGGGAAGGATACTGTAAAATCTCCATTCCCACCCCACTCCAGGGGAAGGATACTGTAAAATATCCATTCCCACCCCACTCCAGGGGAAGGTTATTGCAAAATCCCCATTTCCTCCCAATCAGATTGGACTTGGGAGACAGAGAATAGATGGGGGCGGGGCCAGTCAGAATTTTTACTACCAGTTCTCCGAACTCAAAATTTCCACTACCGGTTCTCCAGAACTGGTCAGAACCTGCTGAAACCCACCTCTGCTGGACTCGCTCAATTGTATTAATGTCCGATATACAGTGCGGATTCCAGGCGGACGAGCTGTATTCGAGAATTGGTCTAGCAAAGGTTTTGTATGCCCTAGTTTGCAGTACAATATTCCCGGAGACGAAGCTTTGCAAGATTAGGTTAACGACTCTTAATGTCTTTTTGGCAATGCTGTTAGCTTACCATAAAAAGAGAAGCAGTGATGAAACTGATTTCTAATCCTCTCTTAGTTAGGCTGGGTGACTTTAGGCCAATCCCTCTTTCTCAAGAAGGAGATAATGGCCAACTGCTTCTGAAAAGGTATCCAAGAAAACCTCATCCATGTCACTATCAGGAATTGAGGCCAAAACAACCTCCCCCCCCCCACAAGCCTTTCCCATTTATAAAATAAATGAACTTCCAGGATTCATCTTTGAACCTAGGGTAGGGGTGTCAAAACTCAAGGCTCAGGGGCCGGATCTGGCCCGTGGGGCACTTAGTTCTGGCCTGTTGGGCCACCCTGGAAACAACAAATGACTGGCCCGTGGTGCTTCTGCCAACAAAAACGCAGCTCCGTTTTCACCTGCAGAGGGTTTCAGGAGGCCGTGGCAGCTGAAAACGGAGCTCGGGAACCCGTTTTCGTTGGCAGAGTGCTCGGGCCACTACAGGCACCCCCAACATGAGTGACGTCAAGCTGGCCATGCCCACCCTGGCCACGCCTCTCCTGGCCCCCCGAGGTCAAACACAACCCTGATGCAGCCCTCAATGAAATTGAGTTTGACACCCCTGACCTAAAGGCAGTGGTGAGTTGCTCCCGGTTCGGCCCGGTTCGGGCGAGCCGGTAGTGGTGACGATGTGACGTCACCGAACCGGTTCTCTTTCACTGGGAACTGGACCCTCCTGCCCGCACCCGCTTTATTGCTACCTTTATTTCTTGTTTTTTAGCCCAGCTGGTAGGCGCGGCAGAGTGGATTGCCGCACCTCAGCTGGGCAGAAACTTAGCGCGCTTGGCGATCGTGCTCAAAGGGCGTGTGCGAAGAGAACCAGTGGTAACACAGTTGGAACCCACTACTGCCTAAAGAATAGAGTCGCAGTTGCCCAACGTACACCTGTATACCGCCGTCCCCATGGCACCTCGGCCTTTAAAGACAGGTGAACACAAAGCCAGCAGTTTTCCGTGGAAATCACAAAGAAAGGGTTTTAACTCTTGGACTTCGCTACCCATGTTTTCACAGCCACCAGTCCTTAGGTTACAGCCGCTAAGATGTATCTTACCTGAAAGGGCTCCCAGGAGAAACAGGGACCACAAATGGTATCGGCCAACTTCCATCCTGTTCAACTATCCCACAGAGACGATTGTCCGCAGCATCTATGCTGCAGTCACCGTTGGACTCCACACTTGTTTTAGTTGTGCTTTTTTTTTTTTTGCTTTCTTCTTTTCCTGTTTTAAGTAGATTTCAGGCGATGCGCCTGGGTGCTCCTTGGCTCCACCCAGAGAAGAAGTTGGCCGGTTTTTGGTTTTTGTTTGTTATGCACTGAAGCTTCAATCTGAGGTCAGGTTGACTGTCTTCAGCTTCTGCAAAAGGGACAGTCAGAGTTTCGTCCTTAGGACATTTCACAGCTAAAAGCCAGAATGTCTCTTTACGTAGTTCTCTGCTGGCGGTTACCTACCTGGCAGGTGCAGGTAGACGTTGATCTACAATCGTTTGTTTAGAAAACGTTCGAAGTTATGATGCCACTGAAAAAAGTGACTTATAACCAGGGGTGAAATGCTCCCAGTTCAGACAGGATCGCCCGATCCGGTAGCGATGGCGGTGGGTGGTTCAGAGAACCGGTAGCAAAAATCCCTGCCCCCCCCCCCGCCCAGCTGAGCCACGCGATCATCAGAGACTTTTTTAAAATTATTTTTAAAAGCATTTTTTCTACAACCTCTTCGGGCTGAAGAAGTTGTAAAAAAAATGCTCTTAAAAGGCTCTGGCGATCCCAGCTGAGTTGCCTGATCGTCAGAGGCTTCTAAAAGCATTTTTTTCCTGCAACCTCTTAAGGTTGTAGAAAAATGTTTTTAAAAGTAAAAAAAAAAAAAAAAATAGTTGGCCATGCCCACTCAGTCACATTACACCCCCCCCACCAAGCCACGCCCACAAAATAAGCCACACCCACAGAACCGGTAGTAAAAAAATTTAGAACCCACCCCTGCTTATGGGGAATATATCTTATAGGAGAAGGGTCTTCTTTGGGGTGGCTCCCTCCCTTTGGAACCTCAGTCCCCGATATCTAACATTGGCTTTGCCACTTTTCCACAAGGCCTTAAGAGCCTGGTTTTGTCAGTGGGGCCGGGCCCCCCAAGTGAAGATGGAACCTATCAAGTGGTTGATATGATTGTGTTTCTGTTGCCATCGATGGTGGTATTAGTGTGGTTTTTACGTTGTGGATTTTTAATGTTGTCAGCCGCCTGGAGTCACTGTGTGTGAGTTTGGCTGCTGTATAAGTTGGTTTAGTTTGTTCTACTTACAATCAATATTGTTATCAACAAGATTATTATTATTATTATTATTATTATTATTATTATTATTATTATTATTATTATTATTATTATTATTATTATTTAATCTTTAGTGAGATTCACAGCCTTTGAGGCTGGTTAATAGCTCAGCAGCTCGAGTCCTAACCAAGGACCTAGGAACTGTTAAGGTATCGTCGGAGGATGTAAGCTGTTCCGAGTAAGGTGGTCTTTTGTAGAGTCAAAATGTTCAAGTCCGGCAAATTTAGAATTACTAAATAACGGGGTAGCCCTTCGGGTATTGCTCCAAGGGCTCCAATTACAATCGGGACAACACACAATTTCTTTTTCCACAGTCGCTCAACTTCAATTTGCAAGTCTCGGTACTTTGTGATTTTTTCTTGCTGCTTATCTTCAATCCGTGCATCACCAGGTATTATTATTATTATTATTATTATTATTATTATTATTTGTTTGTTTGTTTGTTTATTTATTTAATTTTTATACCGCCCTTCTCCCGAAGGACTCAGGGCGGTGAACAGTCAGAATAACATACATATAATGTGAAATTAAAACAATTTAAAGTAATTAAACCAATTTGGCTCATCAGTTAAGATCCTCAGCATAGAATTTAGACAATTTGAAAATTTATGCCAGCCTGGCTTGGTGAAACAGAAAGGTCTTCAATGCACGACAGAAAGTACGGAGATCTGGGATCATTCGTATCCCTGGGGGTATCCTGTTCCAAAGGGTAGGTGCCCCCACAGAGAAGGCTCTCCCCCTGGGAACCACCAGTCGACATTGCTTTACTGACGGCAATGTTTAAGGACATTTTCCCCAATAGCAAAATAGGAACAAAATAGAGATACCAAAAATGGGGACAAAGGAAATACGGGGCTGTGTGGTTTACACAATATATTTTAATGCAGCGTATGTCGTTCATACAATGAACTTGATTAATTTTAAACTTGGTTAGGGTTTTTGGTGGGGTTTCATGCTACCAATCTAACCCCAACATTGTCTGAACCTAGAGAATAAAATAATTTGGTAATCTGATTAAGAGGTTGTTTGAATGAAGTCTTTCTGTGGAATTGAGGACGTGCATAGATAAAGCAAGGCTAACCATTTAAAAACCAATTAATCAAGACTCTGCTTGTTTTAATTTGTTTCCAAACTCTCTTTGCAGAAAATCCCATTTTAAGATGCTCCTACAGATTGCTTCCCCCCACCCTTTTCTAGCAAGTTGTACATTTGCTTTGCGCGAACTCCACAGCAAAGGTCTACAACATCGTTGATTAAAATAATGCAAACTCTGTACCAACTTACAGAACTGGATCATCTAACCAACCATATCAAATTAGCCTCCTCCCACTCCAAACCAGCAAAATTGAGCAGGAATTACGGTAAGAAAGAATAGAAAAGACCTCCTGTTTTGCATGTAAGTTCAGAATTAGCATACATATGCGCAAAGGATCAAATTCCACCCTGATCCTTCCCGAGTTAAACCACTCAGAGGAGCCTCTTGCAACTGGAAAGAAGGATTCGGTTCATGCCTGCTAAACCAAAACCATAATTGGGTTTAGCAGCAGTGGCGGGTTTCAAAAATGTTTACTACCGGTTCTTTGAGTATGGCTTGGTAGGCGTGACATGGCTTGGTGGGCATGGCAGGGGAAGGATACTGTAAAATCTCCATTCCAGAGATGGGTTTCAGCAGGTTCGGACCAGTTCTGGAGAACCGGTAGCGGAAATTTTGAGTAGTTCAGAGAACCCGTAGTAAAAATTCTGACTGGCCCCACCCCCATCTATTCTCTGCCTCCCGAGTCCCAGCTGATTGGGAAGAAATAGGGATTTTGCAGTAACATTCCCCTGCAGTGGGGAGGGAATGGAGATTTTACAGTATCCTTTCCCTGCCATGCCCACCAAGCCACACCCACAGAACCGGTAGTAAAAAATTTTGAAACCCACCACTGCTCGATTCCCTCCCCAATCCAGGGGAAGGTTACTGCAAAATCCCCATGAAATAGGTTACACCAAACTTTAGCCTGAGTTTTAAATGCAACTTTTGATTGAGACATGCTTCCCATGGGTCTCCCTCTCCCTCCCTCTCTCTTTCTCTCCTTCTCCCTCTCCCTCTCTTTCTGTCTCTGTCTCTCTCTTTCTCTCTCTCTCTCCACCCTCCCTCCCTCCCTCTGTGAATGTGTGTGTATTTTTTTTTGTATATGTATCAGAGGTGGGTTTCAGCAGGTTCTGACCAATTCTGAAGAACCAGTAGGGGAAATTTTGAGTAGTTCAGAGAACCGGTAGGAAAAATTCTGACTGGTCCTGCCCCCATCTATTCTCTGCCTCCCAAGTCCCAGCTGATCGGGAGGAAATGGGGATTTTGTAGTATCTTTCCCCCAGAGTTGGGTGGGAATGGAGATTTTACAGTATCCCTCCTCTGCCATGCCCACCAAGCCATGCCATGCCCATCAAGCCACACCCACAGAACCGGTAGTAAAAATTTTGGAAACCCACCACTGATATGTATGTCAAAAAAATTAAGCTGGGTGGTTGTGGTTTGCAACCCACACATATAAACCAGGGTGGGGCTTCAGTTGCACCCACCATCTTGCCTTTTTGGGCCCCCTCCCTGCAGAAACTTCTGTTCAAATACATTTCCTTGGAAATCAAAAGTTCCATAGTTCTGTGCTGTCCGGCACAAATATTTTTTTTGAAAAGTTCATATCTATATTTCACCAGCAGAGGTCACTCTTGCTACTACTACAGTACTATATTTAAAGTACCTTCTGCAAAAACCTCATTTGCAGATAAATGTGGAACCAAGACCCCCCCCCAAACTTTGCTGTGGCAATCTCTGTTTTCTGCTACTCCCCACTTTCTTACCAGTGGTGAAATGTAAAGATTTTTGCTACCGGTTCTGTGGGCGTGGCTTGATGGGAGGGTCATGTGACTGAGTGGGCGTGGCCTTTTCTTTTCTTAATTTTTAAAGCATTTTTACTACCTATTCGCCCGAACCGATAGTAAAAAAAAATGCTTTTAAAAAGTTTTAAAAAGGTTCTGACAATCACAGCGGTGCTGCGCGATCGTCGGAACCTTTTTTTAAAAAAAAAAAAATTAAAGCATTTTTACTACCGGTTCGCTAGAACTGGTAGTTTTTATCACTACCGGTTTGCCCGAACTGGAGTGATCCGGTAGCATTTCACCCCTGCTCTTAACCTTAATTTGTCTCCAGCCCAGGAGGGAGAAGGCTTGAGCCACCCTTAGCAGCATTGGCTGTTAAATTACAGGGAGTCCTCGATTTATCCAAAACTTCTGTTGGGAAGCGAAACATTGGTTAAGTGAATTCTGCTCCGTTTTACGACCTTCTTTGGCGCAGTTGTTAACGTGAATCACCGCAGCTGTTAAATTAGTAACCCGGTTGTTAGAGTGAATCTGGCTTTCCCCCTTTGACTTTGCTTGTCAGAAGGTCGCAAAAGGGGATCACGGGCTGCAACCGTCATAAATATGAGTCGGATCAACATTTGGCAAGCACCCGAATGTGGATCACTTGACTCTGGGAATGGATGCTGTAAATGGTCCTGAGTGTTTGTTTTTTTTTTAATTTGATTTATATGCCGCCCTTCTCCGGAGACTCAGGGCGGCTTACAGTGCGTTAAGCAATAGCCTTCATCCTTTGTATATTTTATACAAAGTCAGCTTATTGCCCCCACAAACTGGGTCCTCATTTCACCTACCTTAGAAAGGATGGAAGGCTGAGTCAACCTTGAGCCTTGGAGAGATTCGAACCAGCAGTAAATTGCAGTAAATTGCAGGCAGCTGTGTTAATAACAGGGTGCTTTAAAACACTGTAGTACCAAGGCTCTATGTGTGAAAAATGATCCTAAGCAGTGGTGGGATTCAGCCGGTTTGGGCCGGTTCAGGCGAACCAGTAGTTAAATTGCTGGCTGGCTCCGCCCCCTCCCCATCCCAGCCCTTCCAGGAGTCTCCCCACGTCCCATTTTGGCTCCCAGGTAAATGCA